ACAAACGGTGTGCTATCTCGAGACACCGACCACGGATTGCAAAGGTAGCGGTTGGGACAGCTCGGGCAAAATGTTACTTGTTGTGCGCAAGTTTTAGTTTGCAATTAATTTGGTGCCGAGATGGTGACATGGGCTCGAGTCTGCTGGGTATTTAGGGCGCGCAGACAGACACCAGACAGACAGCCATCGCGTAATTTTAACGCCCCTGTGCATGAAAATCATTCTTTTTCTCGTGCGCACATACTCCACACACGATCCCTCTAAACAGCTTTTTTTTTGCAAAACAAAACAAAAAGCGTACCCCTAACGGACCACACTTTTCGCAAAAAAAAACTATTTCTATTAAAAATCAGAATCGAGTTGCAGTTTAGATCTAGAAAGAGCCAGCCAAATTCGACCTACGCGTGTTATCGAAAAATCAGCAAAACTGAGGTTCAAATCGAGAACACGCCCGACGCCGAACAGCCCAACAGTCCCAACAAGCGGCGTGGGTGAACTGCGGGCGACGGTTTGTCCTCTTGCACAGCACTCGCACAATCATGGCTCGCTCCCCTCCCCGCCGTGCGGGCAGCCGCTCGTGGCAGCGAGGGAAAACGAAGAAGCGTATGAGGCAGCTCCTGGAGCTAGTGACGTACCCCAACCCACCAACGGCACGGCCGTCGGGTGGCACATGAATCCCGACTCCATTGCTCGGCGCACGCACGCCCTTGGCAAATCGGCAACAAGTTGAACCTGCCGCCGCCGTTCGCCTTCTGTGACATCATCTTTCTACTTGCTTGGTGGGCATGTGTGGTGTAGCGTGTGCAATCCGCGCGCACATGGGCGCGCAGCGTGCGAGATGAAAAACGTCAACCGCCGCAGCACGCTCCCGACAGCCCAACGTCCGGCCGAAGTTTTTGGCAAAAAATGCCGGCTCCAAATTAATGCGCTGGCCGTTTTTTCGAGATCAAGATTAAGAACAGGAAGATCCGTTCGCTTATCCCGAAAGAACGCATTCCAACCAATCAGAGCAGATGGATGCTGGCTCTTTCTAGTCTTAAAATGAAACTCAATTCTGAATTTTAACTTCGATTTTGCCGATAAGACACACCCTGAGTTGTCTGCAAAACAAATATCAATCACTTGCTGCTTGTCCGCGGTACGCCCGCGACGCATTTTTTCTTGCTACTACGTATTACTATGCATAATAGACGCAACGGGCCCAAGCCAGAAACCTCAACAAACAGCAGTAGAATAATGGCATGTCGGAGTCTGTGAACACGTAGTGACCCTCTATTTTGTCCTGGGATGAGATGCGCGCGGCGGCGGGGGATTTGCGGGCGACTCGAAGAGCAAGCAAAGTGGGATGCAACATGTATGTGCGTTTTGTAACGGCCACCAAAATATAATCGACCTCAACACCTGTCAGAGAACGATTGCTGCCCTGGTTTTATTTCTGGTTCGTTGTTCGAGTGCCTTGCTTGCGTGTATCTCTGGGCGTGTGTCTCTCCTCTCCAGATTACTACGAATGTTCGTGGTGTTTGAACTACTTTACCCCTGCAGCATACCCTACGCGGCAGCCAGCAGCTAGCGATGTTGTTTTTGCTTGCTCTCTCCTCTTGTTGCCCCATTAAAACAACGGCAACGACAAGTCCAACACGCTGAACATGCCGAATAGAAAAAAAAGGTGTGATCCCTTCGCACTGCCGTACAGAAGTTCATGTGGGGAATGGAAATACTTAAAACTTCCTTTGTGCCCTAGTAGTCTCAAGATTCTACTCTTCCCCCTCTTCGTCCTGTGTCCCAGCTGTGGTGCTGTCGATCGATGTACAGGCTGCTGCGGCCATCTCCGATTTTAACGTGGAAGTTGATTCATTACTTGTAGACTCAGGCATAGACTACTCTATGGAGGTACAACAGTATGTTCTCAGCGAAGCGGGATCGATCGGCATATTAATTTGCAACGCTGGAAGATTCATTATTATCACAACACATCGCAGAGCGGCACAACTGGCACAAACGGGACACGGCACACCCCCGCGCGGAGTACGCACACTTCTCAGGCGTGTGGCCAAAAAGTCTCTCATCACGGTAACCAGCGGCGTAGTACCCCCCCCTTCCTGGCAAGAACGCTGCGACCTCCGTCAATGATCTTCTACTCTTCCTCTCCCGGCCTCTCACAGCTACAGCAGTAGAGCGAAAGATCGGCCGCCCTTGAAAAGCCACGCAAGCCAAGGGGGTACAGAGACGGGCGGGCCACGCCAGATTCGTCTCATCCTGGGATTTTGCGCTCTGCTGAGCATACCGAGGCTACAGCCGTCGCCGCCGTCGCAACGGCCGCAGCCGCACGCGTTTGCATGGGGCTCACGCTGTTGGTGATTGATGCCGTCATCCTCGTCGGTGCCTCGGCGTATGCCTTGATCAGCCTTGGCTACATCGCAACCATGTGGCACTTGCGGAAGAACTTTTTCATCGTGCTGCGGTGAGAGTGTGCTGTTTGGGCTGACAGCAAACCAACAATAGCGAATATCTGAGTGTTTGGGTGTGAGATTTTTCTAAGGTCCAGGATGAACTAAATCTGTGTCACCGGTTGCTCGGTGGTCGTCGCGTTAGGCCTTTCTAGGAAGGGAAGATATATCTAATTTCAACCATGTGGGTTTGTTGGATGCGTGATGGTTGTGGGGCGAAAGTCCTTCGCTCCAAAGGAGACATGTCTCTTGGGTATGTTACGTCATGGGATCGAAAAATTTGCAGCTCGAGACCCTCAAGAAGACGGACACGTCCTTGGCCCTGTGTGTCGACGGTCTGGCTATCTTGCTGTCTCCCATTGTAGTAGAGCCGAATGATGAGGAACGTTCAACCTGATTCGGAGCTTTCCGTCGAATAATGGCTTGAGCTTTGTTGTTGTAGCAACCTGCCTGCAACTCCAAGGTAAATTGTGCAAATCGTGACAGGGATCAAAATGATACACGGTAAATTGTGCAAATCGTGACAGGGATCAAAATGATACACGCACGCGAGAGAAAAAATTTGCCCCCAGAATCGAAAACACGACAGACACAACAGCGGTTTGGGGGCGCTACTGATAGGACCATACTCGTCACTCCCGCGATCATGGCCTTTTATGGGTAACGGCGTCCAGTAGTAGTAGCTGCGCTTGTAGGCCGACGATACTGCCTAAACTTGAACCACGATCCTGACAGCGGGGAACAGGCGTATTCATGCAAGTGCTGGCTGCTGTATACATGTGGTCCCGCAGTCATTTTTCGCTCTGTTGTCATTTACTGCTGTATACATGACGCTCCAAAACTCTGTTGTTGTTGTTGTTGTTGACTTCACATTAAACCGTATGCCAGTTGCAAAATGCCAAAATCTAGCAAAGACTCTCAGCCCGTGGTCACGAAAGTGCTAGAGCCATCTGAGGATCTAAAGAACACGCACACGTAGCAAGAAAAAGGTATCCAAGAGCCCGAAGAGGTACTACCACACCTATACATAATCCCTGCAGCACCGTACGCGTGCCCAAAACTGAACTACACGTCCGTCTCACCGTTCGACTACAGCAACATCACCCCCTACCTGTCCCACTCTGTACCAAAACGAATGATTGCCGACTACAGCATACTTGCTGTCTGAAGTGCTGTCTGTACAAAAACACCATGGTAGGCATGGAACAAGAAGCTGGCGGGGCACAAAGCTGCTGTCTGAAG